TGAATCTCCCACTGTCGGCTCCCCCGGGAATAACAAGCGTGGCCGGGGCAGGCTGTCTTCTTTGTTGTCCTTTTTTTTTGCTTTTTTCTTTTTCTTTTTCTGGGCTCCCTATTTTTTTTGCAGGGTGCCACCCAGTGCCAGCGGTGCCCGGCCGTGGGGTGGAGTGGCTGGGGCGGCCCGCCCAACTGCACCCCCATTGCCCCTTGCGGCGTTCGCACCTTGCTGCCAAGGGGTTATTTTTATTTGTAATTTTTTATTTTTTTTCCCCAAAAATGAATATGTTTGGGGGGGTGATCTGAATTATGATGTAGGTCTGGCAGCTGGCTCCAAAAGGAGGAGGTGGCTGAAAAATGCTCTGCGGGGGAAGGTGCCCAACAAACCTATTCTTTTCCCAAAAAAAAAAGCAAAATCCAGTGCCAGCAACACTGTTTAACGGTCATGAGGCCTGCACAGATAAGGTCCCTCCTGCCTTGTTCTGGTGGGCGAAGCAGCTTTGGAAGGACAGGGCTGTCTCCGGGGTATGCGTCCAAACCCTGGTTGACCTCTGGGATGCAGGGGATGCCCCTCACCCTTCCATAAAGGGTGTAAATTAATGGGAATTAAAGGAAAATGTGGTTTGGAGCAGTGCTGGGGAAGGTCAGGGCAAGAGGGAGACCCGAATTCCCCCTGGGTGCCGATGGGAGGATGGCGATGGATAAGAGCACCCGCACGTTGCCTGCCCTGCTGACCGCTGCGCGTCTCGTTGTGTAGAGTACTCCATCCCTGTCCACAAATACTACTTCCCCTTCATCTTCCTCATGGGGATGTTCCTGTGGTCCCTGCTCGAGTACCTCATCCATCGCTTTGTCTTCCACATGAAGCCACCCGCTAGTAACTACTATCTCATCACCCTGCATTTCTTGCTGCATGGGCAGCATCACAAGGTGAGTCGCAGCTTACGCCTCCGCCGGCGCCCGCGGGGCCGTGGGAACGGTGGCCTTTGCTCAGGCGGAGCCTGTTTGTGCGTGTTCGACGTGACTCCTGGCATCTTCGCCCCAAGCGGGGCCCTTACCTAATACCAGCGAGGGCTGCAAGACGGGCTCAGAGGAGCTGGAGTTAATTCTGCCAGCTCCAGTTGGGCGAGGGGAACGCCAAAGTGCCATGGGCTCCCTCTAGCTTCGCTGGAGGAAACGTCCCCGTGGAGCTTAGG